ACTGGAAATTGACGAAATGAGGGGTGGTCTCTGACATTGCACAGTACTGAAAATTTCATGATCTGGAATACTACATATCTCATTTTACTTCACTATACACTTAAAAAAGATGGTTCTTCAAGGGTTCTTTAGTAAAGAGAATGGTTCTATGTAGAACCATGACCACTCAAAAAACCAAGTGCATGATTAAAGGGTTCTTTGCATTGTGAAATGGTCCTTCAGATTGATGGAGAACCTTTATGAAAAGGGTTTTATATAGCACCAAAAAGGGTTCTGCTTTTTAAAAACACTTTTTAAAAAGGTTCTATATAGAACCATCTACAGCACATTCTGAAGAACGCTTTCATGATGCAAAGCAGGGTTTTTGAGTGTTCATGGTTTTATCTAGATCCATTTTCTCTACTAAAGAACCCTTGAAGAACCATAATTTTTAAGAGTGTAGTCCTCAATTATCTTTTTCATTAAAAATGTAAACTAATATTAGTTAGTAGAGTTGTGGACTTTTTTACTTGCTAAAGAACTGCATTAGCTGTGTTTCATGAAGGACAAGTCCTACCTGTATCTGTATAACTGTTCCTGGCCATTAGTTCCTACATTCAGAGATACATTTTTGGAGGGGTACTATACATTTACCACTTTCTTAGAGAGGACCGTGACACCAATACCAATTCCTTGCTCAGAAATTTGACAGAAGTTAAAATAGCACAGAAAGACTGTAATCACATATCTGATGACTTGATTGATGATGCCAGATCGGAAGTACATATCTGCAGTCAGCACTGACAGCTTTTAAAGACATCCTGTGAGAGTATTTGTGTGTGTATGTATGTGTGTGAGTGTCGAGGCAGACTGCTCAGCTATTGGCTGCTTCTCGCACATTCAGTGAGAGTTGCAGTCTCTGTGGCTTCGGGGAAGAGCACCGGCACAGCACTCTGCACTCTGCTGCTGCCACAGCACAAGGTAGGACAAACACGGCCACACTTACAGGCAACTTCTGAATCAGCTGCTTTACTTTGCAACTACAGGTAACTGATAAAGTGACCAGTGCATTTTGTTGTGACCGGTACATTTTGTTCCTGTGCATGGTGTTGAGCTTTCCAGTGCTGCTGATACTGACTGCTGGTATTGCATCCACTGTTGGGAGATTAATGGTTATCGTGGGGTGTCAAACCACAAAGCACTTAAGAGATTTGCTTTTAAACTCACAATGTTGTTGGTAGTGAGATGATGTTTGATTAAGCTTGTAGTTACCATGATTGTGCATGTCATTTTTGCTGTGGTGTTACATTGAGAAGTGAACTCTAACTGAAGTTTTATGTGTTTAAATGTGGGCTTTTTACATTTTTCATTTCATACATATTAGTCAGAGGCAAGAACATAAATAACTGAAACACATTCGGACAAAGGAGCTCTAATAAAAGTTTGTTGAACTGAATTCTGAATGGGTTATTTCATCCTCTTACATCATATACATAAGATTTAAGAAAAGGAGGTTCAGTTAAGGTCACTTACCTTGTCGTGGTTTTTCCTCTGTACCTTTGAACTGTTAAATTCAGATTGTTTCAATGTATATTCAGGTTGTTACTGATTGTTTTGCATCCAACAGCATAATGACCTTCCTTAATAGTGCACAAGTGAAGTTGAATGTTGTGGAGAAAATTCAATTAATTCTTGTTATCGCTGTTAATTTCTTGTTTCTTGTCCCAAATATGTGTGAAAATGGCAAACAACAGATCTGATATGCTGACAGAAGCCTAGCCGCATATCCCATCCTCAGCATGTGTGTGCAGAGGCTTTCTAGTCCGGGGGGGAGAGCAGTCAGAGTGGATGAGCACTCACTGCTACTGATTACTGATGAAGAGCTCTGCTCCTTCATTAAATTGGCAGACAGGGGTGCACTAGAGCACCAACCCTCAAAGCCTCACAGGAATGAGAAATGTTTTCCACTCAGAGCGCTGAACGTTGGCCACCTCTGTAACAGCTGAAAGTATCATTTTCACTGGCAACCAGGTAGAAGCAGGTCTGTCGTTTTCTAAGCATGATTCTTAATGATAATCAAAAGCGTTTAGATTCAGTGTCATAAATGTCATGAGTGCTTCTTAAATGCAGAGCAATGTGAGGATACATGCTGAGTGCACTGCCTCCTCACAGCTATTCCTGCTTGCTTGCTCTCTTGAGAAACTTGCGAGCACTCCTGCCGTGTGATGACTTTTGTCACAGGGGAGGCTAATCAAGCTGTCTCTTAAGGCTCAATGCTTTTGAGAACCATAGCTGCTGGCCGGAGGTCTGAATGGCCAGCCCACGCATTGCCAAGCCTCTTTTCACTTCAACCCTCCTTATGATTCATAGGTTACTGTTGCCTTTGTGAAAAACACATCTTGAAATTAAAAAGCAAGTTACCTTCGATACTCCGCACATGCACGCTCTCTGTTGCCAAGAGGGACGCAGGTGTACTTTGAAGGTGCAATGTGATCAGCTGGTTAAAGGGATGAGGTGACTATGTCTTAAGCCTGCTAAAAGACAGAAGCTCATATGGAGTCTTACAGAAAGTGCCATCCCTAAAAAAAACGTGGATTTCTGGGGACAACAGCACTGGGCTGAGCTAACTTTGCATTTTAGGAATAACAACCATATTGACTGTCACCTATTGATGACAGGGTAAAAGTGCACAAGTGAACATGAGGACCACAGCAAACCAAAAGTGTACAAGTCGATACATGTTGCACAATCAGTTATTCACTGTATAAAAGCTTTTTTATGGACGTCTGCAATGGGACCACTGCTTGAGGCAATACTTACAATAGGCATCATCGACAGTGGCCTGATCACAATGGCATAACTGTCAATTTGGTTCACATCAGTCCACCACTAATCCATACCTTCATGTACAGTTCTCCCAAACTGCAGACACAGAGGCTCAGAGTGCATGTAGATGTTGTTAAAGGGAGAGTAACTTACTCAGGGACAGGACAGAAATGATCTCCTTCTGGCTGTTCTGGCTGAAGTTCATGGTAGGTACATCCTGCTCAGTAATACCTCGGTTTCTCTCTGTCTGTCCTCAATGCTAATCAGCTGTCACTGAATTATTTATTGGATACCGATTTTTATGACACAAACGCTGAGACTAGTAGGCTGCGAGCATGGACGTTTGCTCACCAGCTGAGCTGTTATACCTACTGGGCTGTTGCCATGGCACTCAACACTTTTCCGGTCTGTTGTTTTCATCATGCATGCCTTTTGTCTGCCTTGATTAGGGGAAAATTTACTGAAGTTGATGTGGAGAGCAATTTGATCTTTTTCCTTTTGTTACATCAGTTTTTTGGCTTTTTGGGTCTTTTTGATGTGCTCTGGTGTTCAGAGGTTTCACGTTTGTGAACCAAAGATCAGCAATAACAGATTAAGCATTGATTATTGAATTATGATGAGGGGTCATGCAACAGCTTGCAAATATGTTCTGAGATATTTATTCGTCTGTTTATATTTCACAGTGTTTTTATATTGAACAAATTAATCACCATTTTAGGTTCTGTAATGATGACGCACTAAAACACTGCTAAAGAAAGTGGGGATCAGGGTGTATTCAGCAGTAGATCCGTGTTCTGTATCCACTGGCTGTTTGAATGGCTTGTGTGAAAGACTTTTAGGATTAGAGTGAACATTACTTTGACACTTGGCAGCAGGCACAGATGAGCTCAGTGTTAGTTTGGTCAAGCAATAATCACACTATGTTTCCTTTATCAAAGGGGTATCACAGCATGTTAGCAATAACAAAAAGCAAGATAAATAATGATCCACTGGGCAGTTTGTAATCTGTAATTCCTGCAGTCTCAGTGGGATTCTGGACAAAAGCACAGCAAATGTGTCAGAATCTGCAGTGGCTCTTGCTGCTTTTGCTGTGAGTGCTATGTGTCGGCATGCTGTCAGCGAAAGACAGGGGCATTGCCTCATGGGGTTCTGCTCTGCTCTGCTCCAGGCACTTCCTCTATCGAGCTTAATGGGGGCCATGGTTAATCAGCTGGAGGGACACTGGTGCATCACGCGTGGGCAAGGAACCCATTTCTGCAGTCTTACATAATGGATCCATTTAATTCAGTCAGGCTCCTGCTTTCCCACCCTGAGTACAGCCCACTTTGTGAAATGATTCACTGCAATAGTAAACAAACAACTTTTCACTTTCCTATTCAGTATTGTCTGACGCTCTTGAAATAATGGTATCCAGGGAATGCATGCTTGAGTGTTTCTAACAGGGAAAATGAGGAGCATTTGAATTGAATGTATCTGCTTGAGCAGGTGAAATGCACTCTGATCAAAATGAACATTTTTTTTCACGGTGTCAAGATGTGATTGTACTATGGCAGCAGTTAAAGGTAAGGTATTGGTGTGCTGAACAAACAGCATGCTTGCAACTAATGTATTTTGTGCCTGGCTAAACAAACTTATATAAAACAAATACCACTCTTGATGCTAATGAATTATACCAAACTTTATCTTTGTCACACGACTAAAACTAGAAGGGAAGAAAAACACTTTGTAAACACTGTTAGGTAAAGGCGTTGCTGTTTGCTTATTAAAGATCTTTACCTGTTTGTCATTTAAAGCATGAATCAGGGCCATTTCTTGCTACAAGCAGTTGCTTAGGGCCCCCAAGCCACCAGGGGGATCCAGCGAGTTCACAGTATCTGTTATTAAATTTATTTATATATACAATTAAGTAGATTTGATTGTTTTCTCACCATTCATTTTCATTATTTTTCATTCTATAATTCAAAATAATATGACTGGGGTGGTTAGGAGCCCCACAAATAGGATGCTGCTGAGGGCCCCAAATGTTCTGAAATGGACCTGGCCTGAATAACCACTAAAACCTCAGGGAGTTAGACTCACCATGTATTGTTGCAAGGGATTAAAACCAGTGGCATGCTGATCTGACATTTGCATTAAGGACCTTTGTTTCTGTATTGATGCTGACATTTATCTCCTCTTGTTTCTGTTTTCTGTAGGGAGCTGTAAGGCATCCAGAGGTGGATGGCATAGAAGTGAACGAAGGTTGCTTTCCCTCTCAGAATCAGACAGAAACAGAGCTGAAGTCCCTCTCCAAGACAGTAACCATGGAGACGAGTGAGCAATCCAGCACAGCAAACATAATTGACTGTGAAATGGAAGTCCAGGAGGCTGAGTTACCTGAGAACAAGGACACATGCGCTGAAGACGAACAAGCTTACTATGATGATGACCTATTAGAATCTCTGAGTGCAAAAGTAGTGGTTGACATCTTAGCAGAGTTGCCTCCAACAGAGACACATGTTGATGAATTTGAAGACGTGGCCTGTCCAAAAGAAGCATTAGTCTTGGAGGACAATCACGACGAGCTTAATCGCAATGAATCCATTACTTCCTCGGATACACCATCAAGTGCTGAGAGTGTGTATGAAAATGAGACTATGCGGAAAAGACAGGATTCAGTCAAAGAACAGCTGCTGAAAAACACTGTGTCTATAATACAGAGCAGTGAAGATGGAGGCATACTAGACCCATTGAAGTCAGAATCCCATGAGGCCATCTTAGAAGGCTTAGGCTTAGGCTATGATGCAGATGAATCCATGTTGGAATCGTACATTCGGGAGGAAGTTATGTCAGACGTCTCAACAGACTCCGTTCATGACCCTGAGGACTTGGAGGAGTGTGTCCGTGTAGAAATTGCAGCTGCATCATCTGATTCTGAAACGGATGAGAAGTGGAGGACTATATTTTCTTCCTCCATCAATAAGGAAGATGATGACTCCTACCTGGACAGCCTTGAGCTGAGTGCACAAGAACTCTTTATTCAAAAGCCTGAAGTGAAGAACACTGAAAACCACTCCGAAGCAAAAGAAGAAGAGGTAGAGCAGGACAGCATCCCTGTGGAGGATGTGCTAGAGCAACCAGAGAGCGATTCAACTTATGTGCAGTCAACAAAGGAGATCTCGTACAATCCTTCATCACTGTTCCATGGCTTGTCCAAGATATCGGAGGATGAGGAAGAACTGGGTAAGAATTCCATAAACCACAAGGATACTTCATCTAGTTGCATCAGGTCAGACCCAAACAAGAAGGTGCCAAAAGATTACTGTGTGATTCAAGAGATGAAGAGCGAAAATGTCAGTACAGAGCATGTGGATTTCAGAGTTGCTCGCAAACAGTGGCTGCAGATGGAGGAGCAAACAAAGAATCTGGTACACCAACCAGTCACCAAAACCGGCACCTGCCAGGGCAGTCACAGCTTTATGTACACGCCAGTGCGCAACATTGACAGGCCCAAGAGGGATCATGATCTTGAGAGTTTGGCACTTGGAAGAGACTTCTCACACAACAATCAGTTCAGCCCCTGCTCAGAGGATTCTGGCCTGGATGATTCCAGTTACAGATCACCTTATGATGACCCAGAGACCCCAATTGAGAAGGAGATCCGTTTTGCTGCTGAGCGAGAAGAAAACCCAAGGCGTGAAAAGGGAATGTCCAAATCATACTCAAGTGACTGTGTGCAGGGAAAAGGAAGACCAGTCATCTTGAACCCTGGAAATTTATGTCGGGAAGTGGATGAGAAGAGAAAGATGCTTGAGCATCAGGATGACAACTGCAGATTATCTTCCAGCAGCAAGATGCCGTCTTTCATCATTACCTCATCACCAACAAGAGGATCACAGAAGCATGAAACAGCAGCCAACAATGTTATTATCCTTGAGCCTGAACCTTGCCATCAAAGTCCACGCCATGCTGGAAAGTTGGTGACATCTAAATCTGCTGACTGGAGATCTGAGGATCCCCCCAGTGTAATCATACTGGAAACATCAAACCTAATCATTCGAAGTGCGTCCGAGTTTAACCTGAACTCTTCAGTGGAGACCCAAGAGAAAACTTTCCTCAACAATCCATTTTTCAAGCTGCGATCCAGAAGCACCCTCTCTTTGGTTGATGAAGAGATTAAGATGGTAAAACAACGAGAAGAAGAACTGAAAAGACAAAGAGCCACTATTTACTCTAAGGAGAAGTTCCTGGGCTCCCCCAGTCTTCTGGACAGCTCATATGACAAACAAGGTGTGTGTATCTTTCTGTCCTGAGAACAAAATATACAACCTTAATTTCATGTAGCATCCTTAAACCTTGCGTTTAAATAGATTTACAGATTAGAAAAAAGGGCTACATTAATCCTTTTTCTGCTAATTTTCAGACGATATCCCAATAAAGTGTAAATCATCTCCCTCATCCCCCATGAAGACTTACAAGATGGACCGTTCAACCCTATCATGTGATCACAGAGTAAGTACCACTGAATCTTATAACTCTGAAGTGTGTAGAAATGTAATTGTAATGCCATGCAATTCTCAAGTTATACTAAAGTAAATTGTATTACTAAACCGATGGTTCCCAACCCTGGTCTTGGAGTATCCCGTTTTCCCTCTTAGAAATAACTGAATCCAACTAATCAGCTAGATAACATGCCTTTCCTGAGTTGAAGTGGGAGTGTTAGGAGGAAGTTGAGCTAAAAAGTGCAGGACAGGCATACTTCAGGACAGGCCCAACAGGGGGGTAATGCAGTGGGTCAATGCCCCACCAAACCCACTACTTTTTATACATGTTTTTAAGGCAGGGAAAAACAGTCAAAGTGAAAACTTTATGTAGTGCTTCAGGTATAAAAGATACATTGATTAACATCACTCCTGTTGATTCTCTACTGAATCTGTGGCTCTTGCCCCTCCATGGTTTTCAGATCCCCTACTCATAGTTTAGTTCTGGCACTAGGACCAGGGTTAGAAACCTCTGTACTAGGTTAAATGACAAAGCATGCAATGTATTTTAAAATCATTTTAAGACAGCACATAGAATATTGAGCACTTAAGGGTCCTTTTTAAGAGCACTTTAAGACTGCACATAGAAAATTTAGAATCTAAGCATCTATTAAAAGTCTATTTTAATGACTGCTTGACTGTTTAAAGGACATTAAACTGGCACTAAAACCCTCTAAATGCACTTTAACCATTTCCCTCCGTAGTTTCCCGAGTCCTATTCTGGAGGCCGCCGTAAAAGTGCCATGGCTCTGCGGTGGGAGGCAGGGGAGTTCGCAAATAATGACTAGAGGGCAACATACCTAATATCAATCTACAACTTTCTTTGTTTCATGTAAAAGACTTTAGTAGTGTTACAGACTCATGTTGATTTCATGTGACGCCTGCCATGTAAGCACATGCTGTTGCTGCTTGTGTGGTTTTTTCGGCTCTTCATTCATGTTCTGCAAAAAATCTGAGTGTTTGCCAAGACGCCTGAATGTTACCTGAATGTTAGTTGTTCAGTCTATGCTTGTTTCTTAACAGAAATGCTGAGAAGAAGTTAAGCATATTTATTGTAATGTCTTACAAAAGACAGGAAAATATTTAATGTATTTTCATATTGTATTTTCTCGTAAGGCAAGTTTGTATTTCCCTGCTTCTACACTAAAATATGTGAAACAGAATAGCATAAAGTGAGACACAGTGACAATTATTATTTTTCCCAAAATCATTGCACTGAAAATTAACCTGTGTTGGCTTTCACTTTTCTTTTGAACAAATAGACAGTATTTGACATTAGAGGCATTTCAAATATGGATATTGTCCTTTTCTGACACAACCTTTTAATATTCCCATTTATTACATCCCAAAAGGAATACGTAACTTTACTATTTAAGTGATATTAATTGCATTACTGTGTTAATGGAGAAACACTATAATTACAATGCTTTGTAATTTGTCTAAAAAGATGTTCGTATGCATATGTGAATTCATTTCGGTTATTAGGACCATCAGTATTGCTTGCTTATTCCATGTAAGCCATTACCAAGTAAACTTTCACATTGCTTTTTAATTGAGAAGAGAAAAATAAATCATAAATTTAAAAAATGGAAATAAGTGCTGTTGTAATTTAAATGCAAGTGTTCAGATTTCAAGAATACCTATGACTTCCTTCTAAATAGTTATTCTGTATAAAGTCACTATTCAGAAAGACTGCATGAGCTTTAGGTTATGTGAGTAGAACGACATCAGGAATAACAGTATTCCTGTGGTTAGAACTCATTTCACCAGAGCTGCAAAAATTTCTAATGAAATGCCATGTCTGTCCAAATGACGCATTTTAGCTCCTTCAGAACTGCACTGCTAGGATAAGCCATTTGACCTCAACATAACAAAATTAAAAGCAAAAGTAGAAAGCTAAGCTAGAAATTATTCATTATAACAGAAACAATGAGTGGTAAACATGTTCACTTTAATTTACAAATGACTAACAATCATATACATTTCTTTGATTCTTTCCTATACACATTAGAGTTTAATTTGATAAAAAATGGCAAGAGAATATGACGGTTCATGGTCCTACTTTAAATTAAGTGTCTCTAATAACTATGTAGTTACCTGTGAACAACATACGGAACAACAATTTAACGAATAATGATTTAGTCACTGTTACAGATGGATTACAGTAGTACAGCTTATGTAATTACACCGGTGTATCAATTTCAGTTTTGCCTCATGTAATTACACATGTGTATCTTAATAGTTGTAACAGCCAATTCTCTCTCATGTAATTATATGAGGGTAGTAACATAAATGTAATTACCTCTGTAATCAGACTGGAACAGCAGTTGTTTTCAGAAGTATTTTCCAGCAGTAAAAGAACTTATGTAATAACTTAAATTAAGACATTATTTACAACAGCAGATGTCTCCTTATCTTAAAATGCAACATTTTTTGTCATTAATTAAATACTACCACTCCATTATTCCACAGTACCTATATAACTATCCTGTGTAGTTATTATATAGGTACAATGCAATTACAGAATGGTATTGATCAATGTGATGTGATTAGGTTACCTTGTTACAAGTTATTCCACAGTAATAATGTAAAACGTAAATGTAATGTTATGCAAAACATACTTCCTTTTTCTGCTGGAAAAGACTTCTGATCTGTAGTGTTTCAAAAAAAAAACACTTGTGTAATTACATGAGGTAAAACTGAAGTTGATACACATGTGTAATTACATAGGCTATACTTCTGTAATCCATTTGTAACACTGACTAAATCTTCAGTAGGTACACTTGTTGCATATGTTACTCATGTGTAACTACACGGTTATTAGCGACACTTAATAAAAAGTGGGACCGTTCATTTCGTCTTACATTCTAGTTGGACGGAACAAAGTTCCTCCCTTCCACAAAATTACAAAAAGAAATACATATATTACACATAAAAGTTGATTTTGTAGTTAGACACCATAGAAATTTGAGGTGTAAAAAATCACAATAAGCAGGAAATTGCTGTGCTTTACTTTGTGTGCTACAGGATTAAAAGAGAGTATCATCTATAAATGCATAGAGCACCATTACCAGTTTTTAAAATTGTGCATACAGATACATAACTCTGTCAGTTGAAAAGGCTTTTTGGTGATGAAGTAATTAATCAAGCAAAAACATTCTAATTCTGATTATAAATCCTAATTCAAGTATTTTAAAACGGAACTTTAAAATGTGACAATCTGTGCTCTAGTAGTTTTTGCATGTGTCAAACTTTTGGGAAAGTGCCCTCCTTGGAACATTCTGTTTGAATTATTTATTTTGCTAAACAATTTGCCCATGAAGTGACTCAGAGTAAGTGCAAACCTTAAATAAGGTCTTGTCAGCTTCTGCTTGGACAGGTGCTTCTAATGAAACAGCAGACACGAGCCAGGCACATGGTTCATTATCTATGTAAGTCATACCGCACCGATTGTGGCCAGCAGAATAATTAGAAATCCAAGGTTTCCACACAGATAAACTGCCAAAACAATCTTTTTAAAACAATGCCCCTGAAACAAGAAAGAAAATTTTATATCAGGTTAATTTATCTGGACAAAATTAACAATAATAACAATAATGTTGCACAGTATTGGCATTCATTCTCTAACCTTAATGTAGCTCTCATTCTCGGACGGAACAAAAAGAATCTCCTCTTTGTCTTCAGTTTGTATATTTTCTGTGTGGATTTCAAAATTTTTTAAAAACTGACCTACAACACATTGAAAACAAAAGATATAAAGTCAATCAATACCAATACAGCAGGTACAGTAAAGAGAAAAACTGAGAAATTTTATGTCATCAGTTTTTGCTTTGAGAATTCATACTAACACAAACCATGCTGTTCTAACCAGCTCCAGGGCAGCATTTAAAATGATTAGTATGCAGAACCACACACCAATCAGTAACAAAGTACATAAAAGCCTTTTACAATCTAATGCAATCTGACTGTACAATTCATTTTCTTCCCACTGGCAAAGTAACTTTAATTACTACCATGGCACAAATTAGTGCTGTGTACAGACAGCTGAGGTCCTCTGAGAATGACAAGAGCACTAATAGCTATGTAGTACAGAAAGAGCTTTTTATTAAAATGGATGTACTGACCGATGGGGAAAAGGCCCCTCCTGTGCAACTCTAGAACCAAGTCTGCCAACACAAACCAGACCACATAGCCAGCCAGGACTCCTGTGGACCAAGGGGCAGGGAGCAGCAGGGCCTGCTGATGGATCCCCAAGCAGATGGCCACAACTAAAGAAAGAGGTACTTCATGTTTATTTCCATTTTAATTTTACTTTGCTCGTGCTTCTTCAACTTTGGTCTTTGATTGTGTTGCTTGTGTTGTTTTTATTCTTTCCTATATAGTTATTTTATACTTTTGGACTTAAGTAGGCAAAATACAACCAAGTAAATGCATAAGTAGCTCACTTACAGTTTCCTGAACTGCACCATGATCATTTCAATCTCCAATTAAAGTATTCATCATTTTTATAACAGAGACAGTCTGTGTCATTGAGGCAAAGCTCCACCCTGGTGCTCTTCTATTGCCTGTGGATATCGCCACAGCCTAGCTAAGTACAGTTACAGTAGAGACTGATGATTTTGATGATTTTGACATTGATCAGTCAACAATGGCACCAGCTCTGATGAACCTTCCATTCACATACTTACGTAGGCTGCGTTTCAGGCCTTGTACTTCAAATATGCATAATGTGCGACAGTAAATAACCATGCACTGGGGAGACTCTGTAATAGTGTGGGTTCATGCCAGTTTCCTTTTTAAATGTTATACATAAAACCTACTTGACTGCTTATAGCTCCTCCCCTGATAGAACTTAAAGTCTAAAACTCAATTTACCATTTTTACCGCTTTACCAGTTTATTTTTCAGTCTTCAATTAAGCATTTACCTCAAAAGATTTACACAGTATATTTAAGATAAGTAAAAAGTTATGGTCAAAGAGCTGCCACAGGTCCATGAGGTGTTTGTATCGAAAAGCAATATATGTAACACTGAGGAATGTCCTATGGCTGGGATCAGATGACAGATCAGCTGTGCCATATGCCATCATTGACACTGAACTCCTGCACAACACAGCTAGCCACACTTTCTTTTGTGCAGCATTACCTGCTCTACGGTGAAGTCTCCTTTACCCGTCTTCTAGTCATAACTTGAATGCATTGCCATACTAAATGTACATTAATTAGACTGTACACAGTTTTACTTTTCCATAATTTAGGAAGTATTCTCTGGTGAAGAGAAAAACTAATCAAGACTGGCAATACTGGACAACCGAATTAAATTAAAAGGATAAATTCTATCTTTTCTATCCTCTGTGATGTCTTCACTATTTATAATTTATATCCGATTTCACAAATTAAATTACTGGCCTCTAATTTATTTACAGTACCAGAGATGGAATCATGCTTTCTAGACTCCTTTTGCACAGTGCCTATAAAGGATGTAAAACATTACTTTCTCTCTTACCTGCAATGACCTGAGCTATCGTGCCTGTGCCCAAATGGAGCCAGTTGAAAATGTATCTCCTGCAAACAGAAAGTTGAAGAAATGCAGAAGATCTGATAACAACGTTTCTTGCAAACAATACCAGTGAAAGCCTGAAACTTCTTATTTTTATTATTTTCCATTTTAGAATAACATGAAGACATCCAATTACATAATTATCAAAAATTAACCAAGCAGTTGACATGATCAAAAATATGGAATTACTTAAGGAAGTTTGTCTTACGAACAAATTTCAAGCAGCTGGGCATAAGCATTTAGGTTAAAACGTCTTTTATGAAAACCTTACATTCAGTCTGGTGTGTACATACTTTTGACTGATACTGCACATTCATATATATGTTCAGAAGTTTGGAGCTCTTGGGCTGAGTTCACTGTAAACAACATATTAACTGAGCTTGCCAACAAAGATGTGTTATTTCAGTGAACAATGACATTGTTTTACCTGGATGAGTCTGGAGCAGGTCTAAACAGAGCCATGACAGGCTGGATAAGAGCCAGAGCCATGACAGTGCAGCCCAGGTAAGGGTGTGAACCCGCACGCTTGGAAAAACATAGATGAGGCATTATCTCACAAGATATGATTACTGCTTTCTTTCACACCCTTCAGTGTCCACACAGAGCAGCCAACACAGAGCACAGTAGCAAAACAGCAAACCTTAATGAATGATACAATGCAAACTCCATGGACTCTACAGAGAATGCAGAATGGTTTTAAAAGTAGACAGCCTGCATTTGTCATTACAAGGTAAAAGGGTGACCTCTGTTGGAGACAGTGTGTAACCGCTGTAGTCAGCAGTTATTGTAACGGTCCAAATCACCAGTTAAGAAATGCATCAGCTTGGTACATTTCGCTGCTGTCAGAACAAAACCTCCGTTTTTCAGTTTTTGACATAATTTGAAAATGCCTGTTGACCTTTACATTGTGTGTAAATTTCATGATGAATGGACCAAAAGAGATGTCTCAAAATTTATTGGAAAAAAATGTCTGGTTCCACTGACTTACATTAGAAAGTAAAGTATGTTTTTATCCTTCTCCTGTAAAGTTCTTATTTTGAAATTAGGAGGTTTTGTTCCGACAGCAGCGATATGAACATACCTAATGGCACTGCACTTAGTCTTCAGAGAAATGGAAAATGTGATAAAGATTCCACTAGGTGGTAATTATAATAAATGGCCTGACTTAATGTTCCTCTCTTTATTTTTCTTTTTATTCTGCATGAACAGACTGCATGTGAGAGTATGACACATTTAGACATGCTGAGGAACAGTCACACAGGCATGCATTTGGTGGCGGGGGCTGAGAAAGAACATGACACACTGGTGAGCATTAGTCATACGGACAGACTGTGTGTGTGCGCGTCTTACCTTGCTCCAGCCTCCCCTGTACATGAAAGGCAAAATGAAGCCAATGCATGTCAGAAGGACTGTGACAAGCATTAGAGCTCGATGAAACTGTGGAGAAAAAAGGTCTTGGTGACAACTCATGACAAACACTAATTATCATTCATTACTGAGTTTTCAGCTCAGGTATTCTTACCTGGAACCAGACTCTCTGTCCACACAAAGTTGTTTCAGCCCAGTCAGGTTTAAAATATCTGGCAATAATGACTCCAGTGCTGACGGTCGTCATCCAAGCAATGAGCATGAAAACAGCTACATTCAGAGACAAATGAGTTCAGATCTAAAGGTTTGACACTACTGAAAGTCTGAATAAGGACAGTGTTTCCTACAAGTCTGAAATAAACCTAAGGGGTGGGTGGAGGGTGTTATTCCTCCTTTTATTTAATTGGTAAATTAAATAATGCATGTATGGTTTTAAAATTTAAAAAATATAAATAAAACAATTAAGTATTAAAATTTTAATAACAATAATTGTAATTTTGTAATGTAAGTTTTGAGCATGCAGCAATGAATCACAGAAATTGTGAAACATAAGTAGATGATATTGCATCTCATGAAAGGATGCCCTTGTTTATACATAACAATATATAATTTTTCAGCATGTGTCAAAATGAGATGAAATGGAAATTAAAAACTGTTCAATTGAGTAATTGAGTACAATTAACTATGCATGATTACAAAATCCAGGACCAGAAACTAGATTCAAAATGTGGAAATGAAGATCTCTGCAATGCAGTTTAATCTCACCATGGAATTTGATGAGCAAGGGAGAGCGCGAGCCAGTCAGATCCTCTGGAAGTCCAGTAATAAGAACTGGATTTGTTGAAATAAGAGGCTGTCGGTCATGTCTGTGAGTCCTCCCTATGGTTGATAAATACAAAGGGATTACTGGACATTAAAGGCCCAATTCATAGAAAGCCTCATTTACAGCTTTAGTGTTTACATACTACTTTCAATACCCAAAACACAATACACATTGTACATATATATATGAACTGTCCATACAGTTCACATATAAATTCTAAGCTGAAAGCAGCCCATTTTGAAATAACTGGTGCTGTAATGTTACAAAATCCACAGTGTTTCTATATATCCACCTATTCTGCATACAGCAGCTTAGCCTTGCCCTTTTGTATTGAGTGTATCAGAATGGACTACTTTTTGAATAAAGTGCAATACAGGGCAGTGAATCAGAACACAGAGAACACAGAAAATTGTAACTCACCGCCCTCTGCTCGACCATGAGCCATGAACAAGTAGTGTGCTTCATCCAGGTCTGATCTGTTTTGATATGAGTCTGGGATGCGTATATTTCTGCGGAATCTGCACTGGATGACCCCATCTGCCAGCCTCCAAGCTGTGTCTCTCAAAACATTCTAAAGCAGCCGGAGGTCAAAGAACAGAGAGAAAGCATGCAGACAGCATATCAAGAGCATTTAAGCATGAGTGCTTTTAACAGATAATTAGCATATAAAGCATAAGACAGTCTAGTCTCAGTATCTGCAACTTTTAAGCATCTGTGCATGCAATCGTGACTCCTGTTTATCAGCAGATGCAGGTATGTACCTCTGAAGCAACCACTGGATGTGTCCTCCCCTGAACATAAGCTGCGCTGATGTCAACATGGTCATCTTCTTTAATGCACAGGTACACATCATCTTCTCCCTACATGTAAACACATTCTTGTCTTTCTTCAAATCAAAACACATTTACAGAACACACAGAATGTTCCCTGATGAAATTAACTGTTAAGGTATAATGTACACACAAGAAGGAGTTACGTTACCATCCATTTATCTGTGGATAAAGCAAAAGAGATGTAACCCGGCGCTGGCCCGCTGAGCTCAAACACCACACTTGCGTCCTCTGTTCTGAATGACAGGAAGTAACAGAGGGCATCTATCTGTGGGTCACAGCCTGCTGGCTCCCTTAGGCAAGACTTCTTAATTCCACAGTCATTGGAGGTGAACTGTGGAGGAGAAGACGAGGGAGAAGTAAAGCAAAATGACTTGCATGCATTACTTACACCATATAAATTTTTATTAAGAGAATCAAATTCAAATTCACCAAATCTAGTGGTCACAGTAAATGCATTAATAATGCTGCAATAAATTACTACAACCAGTAATTTACAGCATTAATGTAATTTTCTAGTTTGACCATTCAAACCACCAACAGCACCAGCCTGAAGCCCAGCGGCTCGTGCACTGTTGCTATGACTCAAAGTTATTTCCAGCTACTGCAATGCAGTGGATTTATCATCGAAAAATGTTGACCGAAGTGAACAAAACACAGTTTAAATTCCAGCAATACCAGTAGTATAAAGTAACATTAGCACCGGAGGACCCCTGCCAGAGACTATGCAGAACAATGCTTGTGAGAGTACTACAGATAAATCAATGACAAGTAACACAGCGGTATGAGATCAAGAGGGAAACAATCACAAAAGACTTGAAACATGCAGTCACTGTTGCTTTCACTGGAAATCGATGACCAGCAAATAAATGAGTGGAAATATGTTCTCTGTAATGGATTTGTACTTATTTTTGCTCAAACTCAACTAAACACACAATTTGACCAGGGCAACCAAACTATAGCTATAAAAACTGCACTGCCTTCATGTGTAAAAAAATCTTCCTTTAGGATCAAATTAGCAACACAAAATTATGCAAATGATCACAATTCATTATTTTAACCGTTTGACAGCCCTAGAAAAAACACATGTTGAGGCTTGAGCTGGGCTCCTGGGACAGAGCTACGAGATAAATAACACATCAGTAATAGCACGCTATGCCAAACTGGGTCCATTTCAAGTAAGATTTACACATATTAAGCCAATCTGGAAAGTTAATACACAGGCTCAGTACAGCTTAAATGGTAGGATTAGGAGCTCCAAAACAGGTAGTTTGCCAAGTTTTAAGGCTTTGTTTTCAGCCCTAATAACTTTAATTTCAGGCTAGTGTGTGGCCTGTTCTTACTTGCTCAGTACACATACAGTGCAATCACTGATGTGTGTGAAAAATTAATGGATGCTTTCAGTGTAAAAAAATAAACGTTTAGGTAAAATGAAAAAACAACAAAAACAAAAAAACTTTTTTGTTCCGATTATCAAAAGAGAAACCATGATAAAACTATTGGTGTAGCTGGACTTACAGGGTCAGACAGAGTTCCTGCAGCCATGGTCGTCTTAGCTGCTGACTGTCCAGCAGTAGGTAATGGTGGAAGAGGAGGTGCACCATTCAGAGACACTATAGGCCCTTGAATTCTGACCCAGTAAAGCTTGTATTTCTGAACCACAGTCACCCTGAAACCCACACAGCATACACACACACATCAGCTTTTGACTGGCTAAGGCAGTTAACTCGTTAAAGTCTAAGTCTGCATGTGGGCCCATAACACAGTTCTTAATTCTTATAACAACATAAAATTAGTTTCATTTCACTACAAAATAATACAAATCTAGGATTCAAGGGGTTAAGAACAGACAGGCAGAGTGCAAAGACACTCACTGAAACTGGACACTAGATGGAGCATCCTGGGGTGCAGTCCAGATAACCTGAACTTTTGTCTTAGAGGCTTCACTAGTGTGACTCACTGCAGCTCCCTTTCAAAACAGCAAGGGTTAGAAACATGTTACAAAATAAAGTTACACTTAGTTAATCACATTCTCTTTTTTCTTAAACAAACGCTTGCGGGGGTAATATTCTGATGTCTCAGACCTCTCTGTCGCCACACTGGAGAAGCTGTGAGATTTCGGGATCAAGGAGAGTAAAAGATCCAACAGGTCCAGCATTGGGATTTCTTGCATTTCGTGCTTCTATGAGGAAGCCTTTGAAGTGTGCTTTGTTCTCTGAAGGAACTGCTGATAATGTTACTGTGAATATAAACGAAAGGCAGGTATATATATATATATATATATATATGGTATATAAACTTTATCAACAAAATTGAAAAAGAGGGCATATTAAAACATAATGCACGTCACAGCGTGGGTCAGTGACAGTCAAAAGAAAATATATATATATATATATATCTGAAAATATACTGTATCAATTAACCTTGATTTCAACGTTACAGTATTGCCAAACTGCAAATACACATTTCTGTGATCACTGAGCAAGTTTTCTTTCTATATGAATACAGAATTGACGTGTGATCCTAACTGATATTATTATTGCAGCACATTGGTACTTCATCAATAAGATAATAAAAATACTCTTTAGTGATTACACAAAAAATAAATACTGTTAGGCACATTTATCAACTTGTAACAAAGAAAAGTGTTTTGCGAGTGGAAAGTAGACAGTATTACACTCTGCAAAGTTTCATAGGGGTTTCAAATAGATTTCAGGTAACAACCTAAGAAGTGCTCTATTTGACTTAAAATGAGTTGCCTAAATGTGTCGCAACTGTTACTCAATGTCACTATCTAGAAACCTTTAATTTGCTCCAGGGGGCTGAATTTGGACTTATCCACAGTGATGTTGTACGGTGGAGGGTCAGGGCTGGACTGATGACCGTGCATAGGTGTCATGTCATCACAAGCTTGTTGTACTTTCCCATTGCTGTAGCCAGGAACAGTCTCTAAACACACATTCAACAGGACCAACAGAGCCCAAACCTTCACAGGCACCTGAAACAAAAACAAACCGAAAAGTGAGAGGAAAGCTTAATGTCGCCATCAGATCAAAAACCCGTTACATGATGAATGGACAAACAGAAAAGGTTCAGAATTACATGGAATAAAACCTTTGCTACAGCTTACGTGAAAAGCTAAACTTTTTCCCTCTTGTCTTTCTTCTGAAAAGTTGCAGACAGCAAAATTATTCTCTTGTACTTTTGATTACTAAGACTTATGGTTACACAAAAAATGTTTAACTGTTTTATTTTGTGGAAACTGCAACTTTTAAGTCATGTAACAGCACCCTAGACCCAGACAAGCAAATGAAGGCCAGGCTGCTGCTCGCTGAGTAATCGGTCCTTGCTACACAAGCTGCACATGAAGATAAGAAAAGTAGTGTCTCTGTCACTTTGTACAGCTATTCATTTCATGAGCACAGGTCCTATATTTACTTGTGAGAAACAACAGCCTTCAGAAGCAAAATGTTCAAAACGTTTTTGCTTAAGAAATGAAATATTACACTGACAGAGTGTTTGTAAAGTGACTGTAAACACATTGCTTTACTGCTGTTGTACTTCGGCTGCTACGGTGGGTCTGTTCTTCTCACGGTAGGTTAGTGAGACGTGAGTAACGTTACTGAATATTGTTTTGGCTCTGTTTTAACTCCTCAGCTGGAACACCGAGCAGCCGTTCACTCCAGTGAAACATTAAACATTAAGCGGCTAATCCAGAACAGCCAGAAGAGCAGCCATAGCAGGTAGCTACAGTGTACAAAGAGAGTTTTTATTCACTGACATAAATATCAAATTTAACGTTAACAGTCGCTCAAGGTCATGACTAGTTGGTCGGCAGCTCCACCGACTTTATGCAGTTTGATAAAGTTTTGCTACAGTTTCTGATCGGTTAACATTAAATGCTGCTTGAAAAAAGACACTTTATATAATATTCAAGCAGGTGTTCACATGTGATACGAACGTAAACTATTGAACAGTACGTTATGTTGAGCACGAGACAGCAGCCAATCCCAGACTATTTCCTTATACGAAACGCGAAGAAAGAAACAGAAGAAAATAAATATATTCATATATAAATATACATTCTTCTTCATAAACACGTAGAGGCACATACGAACTGAACAATAACGAGTAACGTTGTAAATTTGACTGCTGATAAGGAACCTACCTCCATGTGTGTGTTTTGTTAGACCCCCAGCAGCACGGAGAACCCTTCAGTGTGTGGTTCCTCAGACGGAGCCTCTGGATTGGCCGCTGACGGATGAGAAGTCGTCACGTGACACAGAAGCTACATTCACTTCTCCTTCCTTTCGTTGTATACGTCTGTTTTCCATTTGGTCCTGTGCTGTGAAAACGCCTCTGAAGTTGTGTTTAGGAGGATCGGAGCTTTCAGATCTGAAAAACGCTCAAAGCTCTCAGCAGTGTGCCGACTGACAATAACGGCTCTTTAGCAGCCGATCACCAGGGCCGCTCAGAGGCGGTTTTCTACATGGATGACACCAAACATCGACAGAAAAGACCAAAACAGAGTTTAGAGCAGGAGGACTGATGTTATAGAGAAAACATAATGATCTGTGACGGTACAAGATAAAATGAATTACATTATGTTAAAACCCACTCAAAAACACGCTGCGATTGAACGCATCCTTCGCTTTCTCGCTGATCTACAAACCATTCACAGACGGAAGGTCTCCGAGTATATGGCATGTTTATCGTGTGATTTACGGAGAGAAGTCACTGGACCCCGACTGCAACATGAACCCGCATCAGACATTCGAGATCAACCTGTTAGTTTGCTTCCTTTATATTTAAATAACCAGTAAATAAGCAATATAATAAAGTAAATCAATAAACTGAAGGAAACATACACTCTTAAAAAAAGTTCTTCAAAAGTTATTAAGTAAAGAAAACGGTTCTATAGTTCTATATAGAACCATGAACACTCAAAGAACCCTTTGTGTGATTAAAGGGTTCCTCGCATAGTAAAAGAGTTCTTCAAATTGATGGAGAATGTGCTGTAGATGGTAATTTGAAAACCTTTTTGAAAAGGGGTCTATAGCACCAAAAAAGGTTCCACTGTTGTTACAAGCCAAATAAATCTTTTTTTATTGGTACTACATGGAACCCTTTCAGCTAAGAGTGTAGTTATGTGATTTCCCTTCACTAGCACACCTGATTCAGCTTAAGAAGGGGTTGATAATTGGACTCAGAGAATACCTAACGATCAAAACTATTTATTTGTTTTTTTTTGGTTTGTTTACATCTTGTCTAACGTTTGTTTTTACCAGTGAGGGGTGCTAGCTCAAAACCAAAAAAGGATACTTCATGAACCTTCTGTGTTTTACAAAACTATGCAATGCAGAGGAGGTTACGATTTCTTTAAGCACTGATGTAGACACAATTATATAAACTGGCATTTTTAAGTCTGTATACATAAAAACGGGGTTAATATGAACATTGTAGTGCTCACCGCTATTAAAAGATACACTTCACACAAGTCGTGGTGCTTTATTTTCTAGCTGTTGTCAGCCACAGTGAGCAGGTGAAGCTTTTTTCTCTCTAACAATTTGTTCCCTACCCCAGCACGTTTCTCTCCCTGAGGCATTTCCTAAGCCCCTCATGCCCCCCCATCCAGTCCAAAGCAAAATTGACCAAGTACAATAAATGCTGGAGAATACAAAACCTAAAATTAACATGCAAAAACATTTCTTGATTACGCCACAATACTGACATCTACATAAAACTTAGTAAGTCCAATCTGTGTTTTCTATCTATTTGAAGAGTTCCATTCCACATGCTGTAGATCCATTTTTAACAATTTTGAATATAACAAGTTTTTAAAAGGAATAACAACTGACATATAAAGGAAAACACTATTATAATCCTGTAATAACCTTGCTGAAAAAAACTCAACATTATGCTGGTTTTGTTGGTGATCAGCTGAATAACTTCCATTGCTGCTGACCAGCATCCAAAACACAACATATCCTGGCTTTGCCTGATTTCTTCTATCTGTAAAGCCCACGCTTGAAAATGCAGTTTTGGAGCAAAACAATTGGACTACTAAGAGCAAGGACATCAGAGTACAAATGTCTCGGAAACCAAGCCCTTATCAAAACAACAAGAAGGTCCAGTGGGAACATCAGACTGACAGATGGAGAAGAAAGCAGAGCAGAAGAAACAACATCAGTATCCCCTAGCCATGCGCTAAGACAGAAATTAGGCCATAAAACTAAATGCAAGCAGAGCAACATGCTTAGTTCAGCACGATGCAAACTACACTTGTGAACAGCGCTGACAATACAGAACTACTCTGTGAACGTGTCACACAACAAAGGAGGCCTAACTCCTCAGGAACCAGGGAACTACTTACATCTAAAAGACAGTGGAATGGCATGTTTTAGATAAGGAAGACAACTGGTTAGAAAGTGGCTTCTTCGGTATCTTTGTCGAGCTGGAACAACCAGCTCTGAATGGGGGCGTCTGCAGCAACACTTATCAGTTACTTACACTGCTGTCAGAACATCTTCACAACAGCAGATTCACACCCACACCTCCAGAGACTTTTTTTTGTTTTGTGACATAGTTGGTATGAATCACCTATCACCTAGAGCACTCAAATCAAAAAACAGTATTTCGTACTTTAAAAAATGAATAATAATATAAACACTGGGGAGATTAAGAAACGTACAGTTTACTCTGCATATGGTCCATGGAAACTAACCTGCAAAAAACAGTCAATTTTGAGTTCATTATTTTTGTGAGCAGCCTAGGCCTGCCCATTCACAGTGAAGTCAAAAGGAATATTTCAGCCTGGACTCACTCAAAAAAATACATGGTTGTATGAGCTTAATTCACTTATGCCATGCATTTCTATTCTATCAACATAACCTCAACATAAAGTTCAACTGCTGATGGAACAAAACTGAAACATTTCAATCTGTTTGTGTTTCACTGGATTGGAATCAAAATAAACCGTTTTCATTAATTGAAAGGTACTTTAATTCATTGCTTTCCATTGTATATAAACCAGTTATTTAAAGACAACTTAATTCATTTATTTAATGTCAATATATTTTAGTTAGGGATAAAGAGAGGTTGGAAAATGGTCATATACAAATGAATTTTGACTGTTTTTGATACATAAACACACACAAATGTTATAAGTAGGCCCTTTAAATGCCAGAAAACACCAAACTCTGAACAGATGAAACCTTGTCTACTTCTAGACAGTTGAATCACCTGCACACTGACGCTGAAGATTTTGATAGACTTTTGCTCTCTTTTCTCCTCACATGCGCAAGAATATTTGACATCTGGTCAAACTTAACACTAAATACTACTTTAATTTCTGTTATTTGCTATATGATCTGCAGCTTCGCATAGGCTGTGAAACACAGAGGTCAGCTCAAAAAGAGAAGATCATTCAGAGGCCTTATGAGCTGAAAAATGAAAGCTTCTCGAGATCATTATTCTTTTTAATTGACAACAAATCATGTCTGCACGCATCTCTTTCCAAACTGGGTGGTCACTCCACTGGCCTTGAAGTCAGTTCCAGAGCACTGTAGCTCAGAACAAAGACCAGTGATATTTGGCACAAAACAGTAAAAACAGTTGAGAACAACTGTCTGATTGTATGAAATTGATGTCAGACTATAAGAATGAAGGGGAAAGGCACAGTCTGAAGAGGAAAGCCCTCGGGCTTCTCATTTAAAAAGCCACCCCCCGCACACACACACACACACACACTCACTTTTTCCATCACCTCTGTCTGAAAACTGATATTACAGTCATCCGTGAATGGGCTTTCCATTTGATATTTGTTTACATAGTGCCATATTATTCTCTAATATTACAGGACACTGCTGGTGCACAATACTTTTAGTGACTCTATAACGTCCCTGCGGAGTCCATTTCCTACACTCCTCTTCTGTTCACCACTTAATCGTTTAGAGGAAATGTGTCTTGAGTAATGTTAGGGTACACATCAAACAAGATATAACCAATACCAGCACTGCATAAAGAGAGAGAGGGAGAGAGAGACAGTTTATGTCCAAGTGAGTGAACATAGCTACATTAGTCTTAGGAATCCATTACCTACTTGACTGCTCTGCTCTGTTTAATTAACAGTTTATTGGGTTATTAGGGATGTCAAAATGGACTGTTTCTTTCTGTGGTTTGTATTAGCTGAAAGCCCAAAGTGCACTTTGTGTTAATTGATCTGTCCACAAAGAATTGCACACCTTCTTTGAGAGGAATGATGTAATTGTTATGAATGCAGCAAACCACAAGGGTGAGAAAAAAATTGGAATATCTGTGAAGCTGAATCACATGTTAAAGGGTCAGTTGATCATTTTATATGGACACTAAATACATACACTGCATGTTTTAAAAATATTTCTGATTGGCACATTATGTACAAACCCCATTTCAAGAAAAGTCAGCACACTTTGTAAAATGTAACAAAAACAAGAATCGGTAATTTGTTAATTCTCTTGAAGCTGTATTTAACTGACAAATGTACAAAGAACTGACTTTTAATATTTTGGCTGACCAACTTGATTGCATTTATGTAGGTTAGATGCCTTCAACACACTCAAATAAGCTGTGACAGGGGCACAATAAGAGTGAAAAGTTTATAGAATATTGAAGTTACGTTTTGAAATATTCCATAATAAGCAGGTGAATTGATGACAGTTGAGGGTATCATGATTGGGTGTAAAAGGAGCATCCACAAAAGATTCAGTCTTTGCAAGCAAAGATAGATCATGGCTCAGCACTTTGTGTCTTTCACTAAAAGATTCACGGAATCTGGAAATATCTGAGTCTGTGTAGGGCAAGGCCAGAAACCACTGTTGAATGTGTGTGACCTTGCAACTTGAAACTCTATTGTACAAGGAGAGAGCCATACATCAATTCTATGTAGCAACACCGTTGAGTTCTTTGGGCCCAAGCTCATTTCAGATGGTCCTAAAAATCGTCCTAAAACAGTGGAAATCTGTGCTGGTCAGATCTGTCCATGTTTCAGCTTGTTTTATGGAAAAACAGATATCGAGTTTTCCTTGCCAAAGATGAAATGGGCCATGCAGACTTTTGTCAGTGAAAGATGCAAAAGCCAACATCTGTCATGGTATGGGGGTGCATGAGTGCGCAAGGCATGGCTGACCTGCATTTATGTGTGACGGTACCATATTTTCCATATTTTGGGTTTTTAGAGAGACCTATGCAGCCATCATGACGACATCTATAGCAGCGTGGCTTTGTCTGTCTCCTACTAAAAATGTATGGCACATCATGAACAGGAAAAGCAGACAATGACGACAACAGACTGTTGAGCAGCTGAAGTCATGTATCAAGAAAGAATGGGGCTGTGGGTTCCCAAATGAATAAAAAGTGTAAGGAAAAGGTGATGTAACACAGTGGTAAACATGCTTCTGTCCTACCTTTTTTGAGTGTGTTGCAGGTATTAAATTCTTAATTTGTTTATATATACAAAACATAATTAAGTTGGTCAGTGATAACATTGAAAATCTCTTTGTACTTTTGTCAGTTAAATAAAGGTTCAAAAGAATTAATATATCATCTTGTTTTTATCACATTTTACAAAATGTTCCAACTTTCTTGTAAATAGGGCTTGTATTATAGATACTAGAGGGAAATTAAAGTTGAAGATACTATTTGTGCTGGCAGGTATTGATGTATCAAATCTATTCAAGACATCTACAGTTGTTTTTTTTTCATGCATTTGATCATTGTTACACAAACATATTGCTGTTGTCAGAAGAAAACCTCATCTCCAAAATGGTAACGTTATAGGAGAAGGAAAAAGCCAGACTTTTTCCAAGTCATTTTGGGCCATTTCTTTTAGTCTAATCATCATGAAATTTACATACAGTGTAAAGGGTAGCAGGTAAAAACTGAAAAACATCTAAAATGGAGATACAAGGTTTTCTTTCGACAATAGTGATATGTATGTAATTACATAGTTAATAACACAGTTAGTTACATAATGGTCTCCCAACATTATGTACATTATGTAACTATTTATGACTTTTTTTTTCATATGTTTTGATTCAAAACAATGATAAAACATTGGAAAATGTAACGAAAGCCACTGCACATCAAGACTTTATCCACAACAGCAATTTTTCATCAAAGTGAAATCATAATAAAATATATCCTCTGCTGCTTACAAACAAAAACAGCACACTTTGAATCTCATGCTTTCTCAGTCTCATTAAGTAAAATGTAACAAAATTCATGTCAAAGTGTAAATGCACAAGCTTGGAGGGTTAAATTCTTTCAGTTAACTCTTTAAGTGTCTGCTGCAGGTTTGACAATCTTCCAATGCAATAATAATGTAATAAATGACTGGACTGTGGTTGAAATAGAAATGCACTGTACAACAACAGCACCTATTGTACACTATGTCTTTGGTATTAAACACCGTTGACAGGTCGGCGTATTTATAGGCCCAAGGTCTGTGTGCACTGCAGTGAAGCCAAGTGTTGAAGTCCTCTTCAGAATCCAGTGAGCACTAATATGGCTGCTGCCCACTCACATCACTCCCCCAATCTAATAGTGAAGCACTGACTTTCCGGCTCCCATTGACTAATGTGGTGTCAAATCTCTCTCACATCTAAAAATATTCCTGTTGAAGGCACCATGCGGTGAGAAGAACTGCTTAATCCACTTTCATTCTCATTTCTCTAGCCAGTCTCAGTGCATCTTGGTTCAGCTTCACATGCTTCTCCAAGGCACATACTGCTTAATGCAGATGCTTAAAGATGCTTTGATATTTCACTGCAGTTTTCTATGACCAACACATTTAAAACTATTTCTGAATGATAAATCTGAATGGCGTGAAATGAGGAGAACACTACTGTTGTCAGCTAGAAGATTTGTACACATTTAGGAGTGATTGATATTGGAAAATTAGCTTTATATGACTGCTCTAAAACAGGCATTATTAGTAGCAGTAGTGGTATTAATAGTAGTAGTAGTATCAGTAGTGACAGTAGTACCCATACCATTGTTATGTCCCAATTTTAATGTTAGAGGACTTCAGAAATGCTGCTTTTTAACAGCAATTGCTAAGATTATACAAATGCTAAGATGGTATCAGTAATTTTCACTGATTCAAAACAAATTTGTACTACTTTCATTACCTTCTGAAGCTGGCAAAACCATAAGCTGATGTGTTCTGATGGATATTTGTGTGGAAGACAAATAAATGTGTTCTGTGACCATCGTTCACCACAGTCTCCAGCCCTTCCTTCTCAGGTTGCCATAAAGTGCCACTTTAAAAGCAGGCATCTGCATTTTCTGTTCACCATGAAAGCAAAACTACCCACTAAAATCGTTTTACATTAACAATATTGTGGTAGCCTGTTACTGTAGCCTGTTCCTACCACACAAACATATGTGTCTCTTACTGCCTTCCTGAAGGAGTGTATACAGAAAGGAGAGTGAGATCAGGAAATGGATCCCCTGCTCATTACCAGCACATCATCATAAATGTAACACGCATAGACTTCAACAACACCAAGTGCAGCACGGTGACGAGCCGTTCGCAAATGACTGGCTCTTTTTGAGTGACTCATTGATGTAAATGGTGGGAGCAGTTCTATGATTTTTCATAAAAGCCGTATCAGTACTTTAGAATGTAAAAACTCTTTAAAAATAAAGGTGCCATAATGGGTTTTTGGAATGAACCATTTTTGGTTCCCTAAAGAACCTTTCAGTGGATGGTTCTCTCCAGAACTATTTTAGTAAATGAGATGTGAGTGTAAATAACTTTTTTAATTTTTAAAGAACCTCCGCATAATGTAAAGGTTCTAGGAAGAACCCTTTACATTAGTAAACCTTTGAAAGGTTCTTCACACTCATAAATCTCTCTTACAAAAATGGCTTGTTAGGGAGCTAGCATAGTTCTTCTAAGGCATCACTCAAAAAACTCTAACAGTCTAACAGTGCAAATATTGCTTGTGAGCAACATTATTATACAAAGAAATGGTGTGTTTCATCTGTAGTGGTGAGACACAAAATTAGAGAAGCACAATGTAGAACTGCTACTTTATTATGCTACGTAAGTGCCATTATTAAAACATAGCAATGGGAAACAGGCTGCACTTCAACATGCTACAAGCAATCTTAGTTATATAAGTAGGCTAGTGTTGATTAACAGTAAACTTTACCACAAATGCTCATCAAAGCTGGTAAGCTAATTGAAACTGAAATAGAGAAACATGCACAGAAAAGCTTATACCTATTTATTTTTTTATTTGTATTTATAGGAAAGAAACTAATTGCACAAGCTACTTTAGAACCAAAAGAACGGCTCTTGAGGAGATGATGAACCTATAAAAATGAACTAGCTCTTCTGAAAGATTCAGAAAGCCTATCACTCATCCAGTGTCCTTAGAGAGGACCGTACTTGCCTGAGTGGGAGGGGTTGGTCGTGTACTCTATTGGCTTTTTTCACAAGCAGAACATTTTAGGTCCCTCCCATTCCAACACTTTTGCACACATGCATACACTGAGGCTAAAAACAGTCACACACACATACACAATTGACTGGACAGGATGGTCAAGAGGGAGTCGCATTCTTCAGACCACCTCACTGGAGGTTCATCCAGAAAGGTAGGTGAAGTCACGCATTTCCTTAACCGTTTAACAGGGTGGTGGAACAAGCACTGACAAGCAGTTACCTAGATATTTGGTATTTTTGGTTCGTCCAGGACAGACTGTTGTTCCCAAGGGAGTCTTGTGAACACACAGCGTACTTTAAGTTAATGATTCAATTAAAATCAGTGCAAATATTATTAACTGATGTTTGCATTAATGTATGTCTGTTTTCCTTAATGTCTTGTATCCCTCAAAGTGATTTGCCTAACTTGGTCACTACATTGTTTTACACAATGTTTAGATATTTTCTGCCACAAATGCACCATTCTTTTGCCAGTTTATGCCTGTTGGAGAGTTTTTGTGAATTGCTTGGCCTGCACTTTGCTGTCAGATAAGTTTAATCTCTGATAAAAGATCAGAGCATCAGAAGCAGATTAGACTGAAAATCATTTTGTATTGATTACTGTCATGTAGTAACTGTATAGTAAGCACAAGGATGTGGACATCAGTGATCAATGATAAGAGGCTAACACAGTACACTACAATGCAAAAATATAGTGGGATGTATACGGTATACATAGTGTGATATGTGCTAAAGTTTGCAGCAGATTACACCAGCCATTATGAGTTGCACTTGAGCTGCACTGATCGTACTAAACAAGAAAGGTGCCTCCCTAACATTGCAGCGCATCCCCATTTGGCTGTTGATCTGTAGAATGTGAGTCAGCCTCCCTTCACTTCTTTCATCAATAAGCCATTTTCCACCACTGACCCATCAATGTCTGGATGTTTTTTCTCACTGGTGGACCTAAAAAACCGAGCAGCATTGCAGTTCTTGACACTCAAGTTACTGCTGTTGGCACCTGCTCTATACCCTGTTCTAAAGCACTTAAATCTGTTCCTCTTGCCCATTCTCTTAATCCATGTCTCAGTTGTCTAAAGCCTTAAAAAGTCATCCTCTAACCTCTCTATCCTCCTTCATTTACACTACATGGAGTGATTTCAGCACGTAAAATGATCTAGGGATCACAGCGTTCACTTAGATTTACTCAGTGTTCATTTTTATTTCGTGAACGTGGCAACAAGGTCTCAACATATGTGGACCATCTTCAGGCCTGTTGGAGAAGCATTTCAAGTAACTCCTCATGAAGCTGATTTGAGAATGCCTAGACTGCATACTGAAGTTGACATCAAGGCAAAAAACAGGCTGGTCACTGTACAATTCCATATTTAGTTATTTCATAGTTTGATGTCTCCACTTTTATTCTAAAATGACTAAAAGTGTAGACTTACACTATGAGTAGGTGTTTCTGAACTTTTGACTGGTTGCGTAAGTGAAAGTTCACCATACATGTAGGAGATCTAGTGTATCAAAGCTAGTACAGTGGACAATACAGCTATTCCTGATTGAAGCACATAGCACACAGAAATCTTTCAGCTCAAGCAATTCATTCAGAGATGAACTTGTTTTGACAGGAGATAAATCATCCATTCATGCCCTTTCTCTGACTATTCACAGATAATGACCACTAAAGTGGCAACAGCTTTGGCTGCTTTCTTTCTTTTGGCCAGCATAGCGGTTATTATAGCAATAGCTACAGTCCAGACACAGCGCAGGACTTACCTTTCCCCTGGACTTAAGGTAAGACCATTCATATAACTTAATGTGACATATATTTCATTTAATGTAAACGTACTAGTCAGACCACTTTAGGGTGGCATAGTAAAATTACCACCCAAACACAAGGAGGTTAAATGCAAGCCAGAGTGAAATTGTAGGGGGTTGCTCGAGGCGGGTTTACTTAAGATGAGAGACGCAATTTGAATGTGTACAAGCTCCTGTAACGCTGCTCCTCACAGCTACACTTACTTCAGATTATGAATATTCATTGTTATTATGAACATGTGTCATAGGTTACAGTGAAACTGCAGGTGTCTGATGGAAAATTATGTTCTCCTGCATAACTGTTGAGCCACTTTGAGCAAAGTATTGTGAAATGAAATGCATTCTTAAAGTCTAGACCCCCCCTAAGCTTCAAGACAATAGCCACAGAGCAAAGGTCAGAAAGATCATTAGACTATCATGTCTTACAATTGTTATTTTGTTATTTTAAATGTTTCTGCATAATTAAATCAGTAAGACATAAAGAAGGTCATTCAGAGTGGGTTGACATGAAAGGCATATAGAAGGCTTACCAAATCAGATTTTTCACAGTGGTGATAGAAACCAGACGTCCAAAGCCTTTAATACCTCTAAAGGCATCCTTGAAGAAAGTTTTTACACGAAATGGTTACAAATATGATGCATGAGACAGCTTTTAAAATAGTTTTGAGATAATGTGTTGGACTTAAACATATATTTTTAAAAGTCATTCATAGCAGAGAGGTACATGCAGGCCATCATGTAGTAAAAAAGACCCAAAAGAAAACTTACAGTAAAAAAAATGGCCATATTTGCTTTGTGATCCCTGGTTCCTATCACCACCATTGTAGAGACATTTGAGTCAGTAAGTTTCTCTACCATGAACTATTACACATCAAACCACTCTGAATGATTTTTTAACTTCTGAATTACTGAACTATGCAGACATTTGGAAAATTCAGGGCCTGTAAATTTTATATAAATTACAGGAACATTCTGTAACAGAAACTTAATTTGAGGACACCATTATGAAGTCCTTTAATGTTTCATAAAGATATTTCTCTGAAGTGAAGGCTATTAGAGCTTCCCATGTCAGAGCTGTATAGAGGACCTCGGGCAATGAGACATGTCTCTTCATGAGTTTCTCAGAAAGCTAAGACCTCAAGAGCTAGAGCTCTAATTGCTGCAAATGAATAGAACTATTTATGATTGTAAATGTTCCACTGTTTGTCGGCAAGAATCCATCTCCCTCTCTCTCTCCCTATCTCTCTCTCTTTCTCTCTCTCTCTCTGTACAGTATGGTATTGTGTTGGATGCTGGCTCTTCCAGAACTACTGTATATCTTTACCAGTGGCCAGCAGAAAAAGAGAATAACACTGGGGTCGTGAGCCAGACCCAAAAATGTTTGGTAAAAGGTATGAACCAAAGAAACCATCATGGAGATCAAACGTCCATGATACACACACAGGGTGAACATACAGAGATGTGAGGAAAAAAGTGAGGAAACAGCAGAACATGTGCCCTGGAGGTTTCTGCCCAGCGCTGATGTTCAACTCTAAACACTGGTCCAGGGGGCTTTTCTGAGGATGTCAGTCAATCAAACGAGAATTTATCATTTATGTTATAAATGACAACATATTAGCATATTTGCCACCCTGCTAATGCTAACTCAATGACAGACGAAAAACAAAATTATCCTAATGGTGTGATACATGCATCCAAAATCATTTTTGGTAACGTTCTGTAAAGCTGGTCCAACGTCGGAAACAGTAGCAACATGAGAATGCACTTGTGGGCGGAGCATGCATAGGTTGATTTTAGTTTAACTTGAGGTTTGATGTCCATAGTTGCATTTTAAGCATTACAGTCAAAAATGTTAAAAGAAATACAATTTACTCTCAAACCATTTGAAAGGTTCAGTTAAGCTTAAACATGAATACAGCACAGATTTACAGTAGAATTTTCATTCACATTAACGTGTCAGCACACAGAGACCTTCTTGGCCTTAAAGCCTAACGTGACCGAGTTAATTTAATTATACTACTCCAGCATCACCACTTCAAGTCAATACAATTCAAAATAGTTTTATTGTGAAGGTGTGGCCTTTGCCCATAAAGAAAGCATTGCCATTATGAAGACTGCTTTGCTGCTCTATTAACACTGATCTGTTACAGTGTGAACTGGCTTCACTCTTCTTACTCATGACTCACGCAGCACTTGCCACAACAACCTTCTCTTTTTTGGTCTTAATATCATGAACATATGCTAAAACAAACCCTCTGAAGTACATCTCTCATTAGCTATATAAATTTAGTCATTATGAGTTTTTCTTGTTGTGGTGGTATGTTTCTCGATGACAGGCTGCTTAATCATGGGTCAAATGATTAATGACACCATATAAAATGATAATTATGATGATGCACATCTCCAGGTCCTGGTATCTCAGAAATGGATAAAGATTCCATGACAAATCTTAAAAAGTGCATGGATGAAATGATCAAGGCTGTCCCCCAGAGCCAGCACAGTTCAACACCCGTCTTTCTTGGTGCAACAGCTGGAATGAGACTGCTTCAGTAAGCCTTATTTATTTATTTATTTATTTATTTATTTACTCATTGTAAATAAATTGTCTATAACTTTGTGAACAGGCCTAAATTTTTGCCATAGTATGCACATATCAACAATATCACAATATTGATGATCAGTACACCTCAAAAAAAACTTTTTCAACTGTGCAAATTCTAATACCCACTTCATATAGGCAGAACAGTGAAATATATATTATATCATTTTTCTTGAATAGGAATTAGATATTAATGTCTCATTTCAAAATGACTGAAAAAATTATTTTTTTTTATACAGTCTGAAAAATGAAACGGAGTCTAACGCCATCCTGCTGCAGATACAGGAGTATCTCCGTTCTTTACCCTTCGATTTCCAGAATGCTTCCATCATCTCAGGTCAGGAAGAGGGTCTGTATGGGTGGATCACCGTCAACTACCTGATGGGAAACTTCCTGGAGGTCAGGTTGAGAGGCCATTTCCGTTTGAGTGGGAAGTTTAACAGTCTTCAGTTTCACAGATGGAATTTTAATGCTATTATTAGACCTTTATCAGGGCATTTTAAAGGGGATCCATGTAAAAAGGTTTTATGGGATACAGAAGAGTAGTAAACTAGTTTAATAGGTTTAGAGTAGTTTGTTGATGGTTTGGTGGATTTTTGACTCATATCTTGCTCACTTTGATTCACTCTACAGAAAAACATGTGGAATGCCTGGGTTCATCCTCATGGAGCCCAGACAGTAGGGTCACTGGATCTGGGTGGAGCGTCCACTCAGATTGCCTTCACAGCCCCTGATGATGCCATAGGAAAGGATCTCATCAGGGTGTCCCTCTATGGCTACGAATACAATGTCTACACACACAGCTTCCTGTGCTATGGCAAAAATGAGGCAGAGAAGAGAGTTTTGGCACAGCTTGTACAGGTAGAGCTGATCTGTGAACACCTCTTCACTTTACTGTTGGGCCCTGAGGCCTCCATTAAAGCTGTTTAAAACTCTTTATCTCTGGAGTAGGTGGGTTTTGCCTAAAAAAACAAATATAACATAACAATATATGACTGAATACATGCAAATGAACATAAATATAGTAAAATGTAACAGGAGTTTCTTGTTTTCAGAAAAGTAATTGATACCCTTATATGTCCAAAAGTTTGTAGACACTTCTAAAAATAGCCCAATTTCTTATGAAATCAAGAATATTTACAGGGAGCTTGTCCTCCCTTTGCTGTAGGAACAGCCTCTAGTATTCTGGAAAGGCTTTATACTGGATGTTGGAACATAGCTACTACAAGAGCATCCAAGTGATGTTGGATGATTAGTTCTGGAACACAACTTTTCCCAAAGATACTGGGCTAAGCTTCATCACTCCAGAGAATATAGTTCCACTGCTCCACAGCCCAGTGCTGGGGAGCTTTATACCCCTCTAGCTGGTGCCCCATTCTATTGGCAAGTGTTTATGTTGAGGTTATTCAAATTGTAGAACACCTGTATCAGTAACAGATAGACCTGAATTGACTAATTAGAAGGGCTGTCTGGATAGTTTTGGACATACAGTGTGTCTTGACTACAAGAATACAGTTAGAAATTTGGCTCTTGACTTCTGAGTGCACTGCACTGCAAGGTCTGGAAAGTTATATATAGTTAAATATATATTCTAATGTTAGTGTATTTGTTAGCTTTTTTAATAAATAAATGATTACTGCCCAGATAAATAGCTCTACATATCATTTTGTCAGATGGCCAAAAACCTGTGCACAATACTGTACATGGACAAAAGAAACTACCTTCTGTCCTGTACATAATACAATAAGAATCATATTACCTTTTTAAATGCAGTATAACCAAACAAAATAAGACTTGATTGGTAAAGTCTGCTATTTTGAAATATGCCTTTTAAGAAACGGCCAAAACTGGAGGAGTCATGATCTCCAGGGGTGGAATGTATGATGCTGCCATTTCTGTTCATTATTGAATCTCAGGCCTGTTAAAAGTACATTATAGCATTACTGTATTGATCAATCCATTTCTCTTGTTTTGATCCCCATAATAATTACCTAATTGCACAAAGCAGACTAGAGCAAAGCAAAATGCAGAATCCCTGTAAAACATTCCTCTCACTAATCCATTAATGTGCATATACTGTCCATTTAAGAAGTCCATTTAAGGCTGATGCTAGAGCTTATCCAAGCTATGCCAGGACGTTCCCAGACTACTCTGTCATCAATAATGTGTTGATGAGCAGTGGCAGATCAAATTACGTCAGGGTTCATTACTGTTTTCATATTTTGCTCTTCTTAAATTATGTTAGATGTGAAGTATACCGTAGATACAGATGAAGACAGATGACAGCTAAATGATTTATAATATTATAAATTAGTTAGGATTTCTCAGGGTGTAATAACTGACCTTAAATAGAAGAAGCTACAACCTAATCACCTCTCTTCTGCCTCAGAAATCCTCTAACCGGACGCATATAAAGCACCCATGCTACCCTGCTGGCTACAACATCTCCAAGCCTCCAAGCGATATATTTGACAGCGAGTGTACGGAGAGTGACAAGCCCACTCCATATCACCCTCAGAGGAACATCACTTTCTTTGGTCAGAGTGATCCAGCTAGGTGCAAAGACCTGGTCAAGAGTATTTTTGACTTTAAGTCCTGTCAGGGGAAAGGGAACTGCTCTTTTGGAGGAGTTTACCAACCACCGGTCACTGGGGAATTCATGGTAGGCTTTATTCTTAGCTCTTGTAGGTAACAGCGTTAACTCAAAATGAATGTTAAAGAACATATCTAAAAAATTTTTATAAATTATAGGGAATGACTCATAAAAAAGCATGTTTCAAGCATGAGGTGTTAAATGAATTTCTACACTGATGCAAAAATAACATAACATTTAAAGGTTTTTATTGATTATTTTTCAAACTCAAGCGTGGTCGTAGTGGGCCGGGAAAGGCAAATATACTTGTTAATGTAATTGTAAATGTAATCTGTGGGACATAAATAGCACCACATTCATAGAATCACCCATAAGTTGACTACCATTTCAATCCGTGCGGCTATGAATGACAAAATTGCAGCCAGGGCCATTTCATTCAAATGTTCAGACTGTGTTTTGGCTTCTGGACTGGATTCACTTCTTACATTTGGCTCTTTTATTTGCCTTTTCATGAAACTAATCCAAAGTAGTAACCAAAGCTTGCCTAGATAACTTCTAAGAAACAGGCTAAGGGCATTCAAAGTATATAGATGTCTTTTAAGGAGGTTTAAGGCTGCCTGCTTTTCATTTCAAAGGCCCTTTTTGTTTTAAGGCTTTAATTAAGAAAAAAAAAAACTTGAAAGGAATATTTCAATGCTTTTTTTCTAAAGTAAAATCTCAGGGATTTCAAATTCAGATTAAAAAATGTGTGTTTATTGTGTAAATTATAAATCATAAAATTCTTGTTTATCCAAAAAAAAACAATCTATGGGTTTAGTAGTATTCTGGCTGGAGTAGTGTCTGCTAGCTGACTGGTTTACTGCTGTCAGTGACTATATTACAACATATGGAAATGAATCTCTGCCCACCACATTATTCAAATGACTGCGGAGCATTAAAATGGTCCCCAGCGAGCTATAAGCTCAAATGCATTGGGATCTTTATCAGATCTTACCATAGGATGGAAATGATAGAACAACTGTTGCATCTAAAAGCAGTTTTGCTGTCTTGTTGTATGTAAAAGTAACATATAACAAGACAGCAAAATTGGTCCAAAAATGATCTATTCTATTCCCTGTGAAAAATGTGGAAAAGCATGTAGTATTTGCAATATTTCATTTCCTAAGAACAATATGTTTGAACCACATTCCCACATTAGTTTTGTAATATGATTGCGTTATCATTACCTCTGTATTACTGTGTTAATCTTGTGTCATCTGTTGCTGTTAAGGCTTATGCAGGATTCTATTACACTGCCTGGGCTCTTGATGTGAAGGGCTCCAACAGTCTGGAGAGGTTTAATGCCACCATGTGGTCATTCTGCTCAAAAGACTGGACATCAGTGAGTACCTCTCCCACCATCTGTGCATGTCAAAGACAGGACAATTTCTGGAAATAGACTTTTTTCTTATGAACTGATCATTTATTATATTGAGTATTAAAAATAAATTAATAAATACTTTAGAAATACTGTCAATCACATGAAGATATGTATTCAGTCACCATTTCTTGTCCTTTTTTCCCTCTTCTAGCTTAAAAGAAAGTACAACATAACAGAGAAACACTTGAAGTCTTACTGCTATTCTGCAAACTATGTCCATACAATTCTTGCAGACGGATACAAATTCAATGCGGGCAACTGGGAAAATCTCAATTTTCAGAAAGAGGTACAGATAAAATAATGACCAAAGTGAAAAGGTTATTTAATGCCATTCAAAGCACTGATCCCCACAATATTATACACACAGCATTCACGCCATCTTTATATGTTCTTTTCTTCTCTTTAATTGTCTAATCTCTAAAATATCCAAATTCCTTCTCAAGCAAAACACACATCAGATTATCAGATTATCTTTTGGACTTCATGCACATTTTTTCTAAGCATCTGCAATGTTAAGCTGCATCAGGAATGTCATCATAATGAGGTATTTAGTGAGTGCTGATGTTTTGCAGGTCAATCAGACGAGTATAGCCTGGTCTCTGGGCTACATGCTGGCCCAGTCTAACATGATCCCAGCAGAGGCAAAGCTTCTGAAGCTGCCCATCCCCAACAGCGTCTTCGCTGGGCTTCTCTTTATCTTCTCCGCTCTGACCATAATCACCCTCATGTTCCTCATCATCACACTGGTGCGCTTTTGTTACTGATGACCCTGAAAGCCCTGCTCAGGAACTCAGCTTTATCTTCAAGCAACAACACTAGAAGAGCACAGTCACTGTAACGTAAGAATATGTGTGTTTTCCCAGCTCTCTGTGCTGCTGTCTCAGCACTTCCTGACTGGGGCTTTAAACAGGCAACCATCATGAGTCTCCAGTGCCTGAGGCACAGGCATCTCAGCCAAAGAGACCCACTGCACAATAGTACATGTAGCCCCTGATATATTACTTTGGGTGAATGAGGGAGTTATGTTTATTTTTGGAATGCAAAATAAGATTAGCTGGTATGATGGTCCAATGCTCAAGAGGAGGTAAGAAAAAGGTTTTGCAAACAAGCTGTGTGAAGAATTGACTTATGGCTCTATTATTATTACTTTTCTTTTCTTTGATAGCTCAGATTTAATTATTTTGGTGTCAGATAATAAAAACGAATCGATTTCAACATTATATAACAGTCACCCTACACAGCACAATAGCTCATACTGTTGTTTCCAAATCATCTGAACAGACTTCACAAAATCTCTTTACTTGAAGCTGCTCCTGAAAACTACACATTTATGCACACAGTAAGACAGGGCAGGTGAGGAGGAGGAGTGGCATCTATTTATAATAGTGATTTTAACTGCAAAAATGCCACTGTTGTTGAATTTACACCTTTTGAGTATATTGCGCTCAACTTTTTTAGTGATATTTCTATGTTATTAATTGCAATATATAGAATACAGAAGTAAAGAAGAAAGTGTCTGAAACTTAGTTGAAAAAGCATTACACTGACTCAGAGACAGTCAAGAGGTGCAAACATTTATAACAGTGCATTGAATACAGTTCTGACTCCCTCCTGTAATGATCTGGTCTCTGGCCTAAATTCTACATTAAAGGAAACTCTTGAAATTCTCGTACCAGTCAAATAAAAGAAAAACATGCATACTAACAAATCTGTAGATGAATAAAATACGCCATCTTAACTCTTTAAAATCAAAGAATTTATGGAGGAAAAGTAAACGGCAGGTACATTATAATATTCCCAAAGAGCATCTCCACCTACAATAATGCTATGAAAGTAGCCAGACAGCCATACATCAATAGCGTACTTAATGAACACAAAGATAATAATAAGAAGAAGAAGATCTATTTTCCACTATACACTGACTAATTTCTGCTGATGTGTTGCATAGTGATTTATCTTCTAAAATCTGTAAAGAATTTGCAGTTCATATTCAAAATAAAATAGCCTTGATAAGATAGAATGTAGCTCAGCCTACTGAAATGAGCTCCTATAACCTTCCTGATAAGCCACTTACATCAGTAACAGCATTTCTCTGTTATCGATTATCAGGAGCTTACAGCTGTTACAAACACGTTTGTTAGTTTTGATTTTGACCCCGTTTCTACTTTACTCCTTAAGATGGTTATTGATTGTGTTTAAACTGTTGTAAACTGCTCTCTGTCAACAGGCGCTTCTTCAGATACTTTTAAAACTGCCCTGGTGAAGCCTCTACTTAAAAACAGTAGCATGGATCCTTCTGTACAAAATCATTTTATACCGATTTCTAATCTTCCTTTTTAAGTAAAGTCTTAGAAAAAGTTTTTTTCAAACAATTATATTTATCTTATCTTAAACAGGTTTTGGGAGGTTTTTCAGGTTTTCATTCTAACCATAGTTCTGAGATAGCTTTGTTCATGTTGTTTGTGATATCAGGCTTAGTGCTAATGATTCCTTCTATTTTGGTCTTATTGCATCTTAGTTTTTGATACTGATGATCACAAGATTCTAGTTCACCATCTTGAATACTAGGTAGGCCTCTTAGGCACAGTTTTAGAATGGTTTACATCATATTCAATGAATAGACAGTTCTTGATTACACTGGAAAACTATTCATCAATTCTTGTCCCAGAAGTTTTAATTTTAGGGACATTGCTTTTCTCTTTGTACATGTTACCTTCAGGTGATGTCATTAGCAAATATAACATTATTTTTGTCAGCTACACTGATGATGCACAATTATGCAGTTCTATCATTTCTGAAAATCAAGACTCTGTCGACAGGCTTTCCAGCTGTGTGTCAGATATTTCTCAGTGGATGTCACAAGAGGTTTTTACAATTAAATCATGAAAAAACTAAAATACTGATCTTTGGTACTAAAACTCAGAGAAAAATGCTTTGTGAGAAGCTCAGTTCTGTAGCTTTGTATACCAAACCGAAAGTACGAAACCTGGGTGTTATTTTAGACTCTGAGCTGTTTTATCTCACATGTAAATACGGTCACTAAAGTAGCTTTTTATCATTTGAGAAATATTGCTAAAGTTCAGCCTTTTCTATCTTAGAGCGATGCAGAGTTTGTTCATGCATTTGTTACAAGCAGAGTTGATCACTGTAATGCTCTTCTTACTGGACTTCCTAAGAAAACAATACATCCTTTACAACTTCTACAAAATGCAGCAGCAAGAATCCTAACAAAAACAAATAAGAGAGGTCATATCACTCTCGTTTTGAAAGAACTGCACTGGCTAACTAACTTTTACAATAGATTTTAAAGTTCTAGTATTAGAATTAAGGCTCTTAATGGCCTTAAAGCACCCACATACATCACAGAATGTCTGTCTGTTTATGTCTTAGCATGTGATCTTAAATCTGCAGATACTGACCTTCTGCAAATACCTTCCATAAATTAGAGGAAACATGGAGAGGCCTTTTCTGTTTTTATGCTTCTGAAATGTGGAACTTAATTCCACCTTTTATTAGACAGTCAAGCTCAGAGCTCACTTTCATTCACCAGTCAACACATCACTACAGATTAATTTTAGCATTGGGTCATGTTAGCCACCGTACTTTCAACAATACATGAGATATGAGATTTACTAAATGATACATAATTATATATTATATATTAATGTATTAATAATTGTGCTAAATTTGACAGTTTTCCGGTAATGATGAGAGGCCTCTAAAAAACAGAATATTTGAATGTCACTGCACTAAGGGTCAATACTGATAGTGTAAAATGAGACCAAAAAAAAGTCCAGAGATGTCCAAAATACATTTCAGCAAGAGCCGAAGCACTTAAATAAAAAAGGTATCAGTATTTAATGAATGACTGTTTATATTTACAGAACGATAAAACAAAAAAGGCCTTCAAAGCCTTAAAAAAACAAAAAACATCCTTGGCCAAACATCCTTGGTCATCTTTGCATAACTTTCACTTTTCCACACAGCTCTAAACCACTATTTCCATAAAGAATTGCAAGAACTGCACTAAATTAGGTCTGTTTAATCCATTTCTGAGTAAACTGAGTAAAGCTCCTACATATGGCTGGAATGAGTGTGGAGTTTTTCAACTTTTAGAAAATCCCCATTTTCGAAGATTTGTACAGTTGTTGGTTGAGCTGGTCTTGGAATTTGTATTTAGGGCAAGAAAGTAAAGTACCATATAGTAAAACATTTGCAAGCAACTAGAAGAATAATCAGAACAAATGAAGGCCTTATGTTACACTTGTTCCTCAGCCCATAACTAATCTCTTTTTAGGATTGATAGTTCTTTATTTTATGTTTGTCTTACTCCTTTACATCATGCATTATGAGATTTGGACAGGTCTGACTGCATGTCAACGTGTGCAACACATTGTTTGGATGAAATATGCAACTGTATTGTTAGTAAATGTAATGAAAGTTAATAAACAGTACAATTTAAAGATGTTAATGTTGTTTTCTGGTTTCACAATATATACATGCATACATATATCAACAAATAACTAAATAAATAAATGTCTGCACCAAAACAATGTTCACAGCTCACATTAACTCCATTCCACCTACAGCAGAACTCCACCAGTATGCCTACAGGTAAACCCACTCCACTGAAGATGCCAAACCTCTACCATCCTTCTGATGTTATCCTAGTTGGAAACCAAGGGCACGTATGCCAGGGTGCTGATTACTGACATCAAGGGGGTATTATTGGACAGTCCTCATCTTTGGGCTTAAGCTGTCTGGTTAGCTTAGCATTCAACACCATCATAACCCCAGAGACGAGTAAACAATCTCCACTTACTTGAACTCTTCAGGCTGCATCTGGATTCTAGTCTTCCTGAGAAAAAGGTCTGAGACAGTCAGGACCCAGAACAGATTGTCTCAGACATCACTCTGTTCAACCATAACTACTGTGCCAGACATGGCAACACTAATCAAATCATCAAGTTTGCTAAAACACCACAACAACGCAGTCTACAGAGATCAGGTGAGGCAGCTGGAGGTCTGTTGCAGGGACAACAATCTCTTTCTTAATGTCAGCAAGACAAAAGAGATGATTGTTGACTTCCAGGTAACCCATGTGGTTCACATTCCTCTACACATCAGCGGTATGACAGCGGAAACAGTGCATAGCTTCAAGTTCCTGGGAGTGCACATCACCAACAATGTCTCCTGGTCCCTAAACACAATGTGTTCACTGTTAATGGTGATTTATGGTGCTTTCACAGATGTGTAGATTACCCACTAAAAAAACCCATACCATGACGTACCATTTTGAAATTTACACTGGTAAGAATCTGGATGGTCCTTTTCTTCTACAACATCTGGAACGCAACATCTATTATTTCCATAAACAATCTGAAAGGTTGTATATATATATATATATATATATATATATATATATATATATATATATATATATATATATATATATATCCTTTACATTGTGTGAAAATTATATGAAGATTGGACCAATAGAAATATATATATATATATATATATATATATATATATATATATATATATATATATATATATATATATTGTTGCTATCTCCATTTTTGTCGTTTTTCAGTTTTTCGCATAATTTGGAAATTACAGAATACCTGTTTATCTTTACACTGTGTGAAATGGAAGAAATGACCCAAAATGACTTGGAGAAAAATTCTGGTTCCATTGACTTACATTTAAAGTAAAGTATGTTTTTGCTTCTCCTGTAAAGTCATTTTGGAGAGGTTTTCTTCCGACAGCAGCAATATACAACACTGTTAACGTTCCAAAGCCGCTGGTCACTCCCCAGTCTGTACAGTCCATTTATCAAAACTAAGCTGCAAAAACAGCCCATTTTGAATTCACTGTTATAAATATGTAAATATATCTTTACATTCAGCCTACAGCCGTTCAGCCTCTCCGAATCACACCAAAGTTATAAGTAGTGTTTCACCTTGGCCTGATTTTTGAATGAGTGTCAATACAGAGTAGCCAATCAGAAAAGATGGCTATTTACATATATCAGTCTTAAATGTACAGTGACAAAAGTAAACAGCCTGTTTAGTTTTGAACCATAAAGAGAGTTTGAGAAATGGTCATTTAAAAGTGAATTACCACTGTTTTTGGTACATAAAGACACACAAACATTATAAGTGGATATTCAGGAAAATGTAGGATACGGGCCCTTTAATGTATTTGAAAAACTGATTCTGACGCTAATATAAATGCACACACCTACCAGTAGGGGGCAGCATCGACCTGCATTGTGTTTTACAATTATACTACTGCGGTTACAGAGGCGGGGAAAGTGTGAGCATTAAAAAGTAGCTCTGGTGAAGTTCTCAATAAAAAAGAGCCACTGGCTGGCTGATTTATGGACATGAGTGGGGCTCTTCTCCATCAGCAGCCCCTCATTTGCGAGCGTGTCAGTGTTTGGGTGCAATCCATTACAGTCCACTCCCTCACAGCACCGAGCTGAGCTCCCTGCAGGCTGCACCTTCAGATTTACACTCTGCAGCTGTATCTCGCAGCTCCACCATGGCGTCCAGGCGCGTCTCCTCTTCTTCTGTTCTCCTGCCTCAGCACATTCCACCACAAACCGAGACGAAGCCCAAGGGACCCTCCTCCTGAAGTAGTGTGTAACACACACACACACACACACACATTCACACACACACTGCACAAGGCTGCTCCTCAAAGAAGAACGTGAACTTGTGGCAGTTCTCACAGGCTCTAAAGTGGAGCTGGAGGTGCACGAGGAGCTGAAAGCTGCACACGGGCACTACAGCACTCACATCTGCACACAGTCCACACAGGCGCGCGCGGAGTAACCTACTCATCCAAACTACAAACTACAGAAGAATCCAGTGGTGGAAAGCGAGAAAGTGTACGGAAGGCTGGATACAGTGGGACAATAATGAGCACTGAGTTACACTGCTGGAGCACCGCTGGAGCACCGCTGGCACCGCGCTGTTGATTCATACTCCAGGAATGAAGATGATGTGGCGATGAAAAGGCAGCGCGAGCGCGCGCTCACAAGTGAAAGTGCTGCATGGACACTGAGCTCGGGAGAGAGAGCAACCGGTGCGCTCGCTCGCCTCGTGTCATGGTAAGAATACATAATAAAGCGTTTTATATGTTTAATTCATCTCTTCCAGCAGTTTGTAACTTATGGCAAGCGGGCTCCAAGCAGCTTCGCACAGACGCGCAGAAAAGCTGTGGGTCTGCAGGCTCGCGCCGTTTCACTGGGGGGATTCGTGTACCTTAAACAAAACATCCAACCATTTCCACATTGCTGAACTCTGCAGGCTCGCTGTGGAATACAGCAGGACCTTCTAGCCACGTTGAAGCTGCTGAGGACGCCTGTTTTGAGATCTTGGTCCATTTTCCCCAAAACACAGTCAAGATCAGCTCAACGTTTAGAGAGTTTTCAAAGTGATTGTAAACTATTCTGGTCTTTGATGCACAGTTACACTCAGACTTACAGAGTGCATTTGGTCCAGCTGGACACAAAGGAATCCTGCACGCTCAACACAGCGGTTGAATTTAGTAGATTAAAACCTGTGCATGATTTTTACCTCAGTAAAATACATTTAGTCTTTCAGTTCACTAGCTTTTGTGTTGATATCATATGGTTTATTAATGTGGACATTATGTACATAGTTGATTTAAAGTAGTCACACACAGATACACACCTGCATGCACACACACACACACACACACACACATACACTCCTGCATCCACACAATAAGTTGTTCTGCATTTCCTGTCGGTGTTCAGCTGTGGTGTGCAGTGTTCATGTAGTATTACTGTATCAGACTTCTTAACTCTTCAGAGAAGAGCTTGGCAATGAGCTCTGCTGACTCGCCACACTTTTCAGGTTTTGTGTTGTGAAGTGTCTCAATTTGTCTCTGCAAGCATGAGTTTCACATGTACATCTTCATTCAGTATAATTTTGTTGGCGGTTTGTGTTGAGCCAGTCAGGCAGGTGACGTGTAAAGGATGAAGGGAGTAGATTCAGTCTTATCACGTGTGTGTTGTTATTGCATTCTCTAGGGAAAATGAGTGGCTTGCATTTAAGATAAACTCCCCTCAGCCAAATTGGAGGCTTGGTATTTTGTGTGTGTGTGTGTGTGTGTGTGTGTGGTTTTCAGAAGAGGGCTAAAACAGGACTAACCTACAATGCCAGGACCAACAAAGTGGCATTTGTAGTGCTTTTTTTGCAAAAGTCTCATTTTCAAACTGAAAGGGCAAAATGGTCTTTTTTGTTACTGAAGTGAAGATTAGGGACAGAACATTCTTATTACATAGTAGGTTCTTACATGGTACATATAGGGCAAAAGACGGAGACCATTGTTATTTAATTTCCAGTCCAAATAGATATTAATTACAAGTTAATTACAAATTCATTTTTGGCGTATGGAGAAAAGCAGAATTATATTTATTTAATGAAACATTACAGAGAAGCCTCACAAAATATATTTTTTTCTGTATTTCCTATGTCTACCCTTTTCTTTTTTTACAGCTTTCATTCTTTTCAGGAGACTTAGTTTCCATTTTTCAAAGAAATCTCCAGCAATATTTTTCCACAAACTTTAGTCTTAGAAGTTGGGTGCATTCTCTGCTTCCCATAATCCAAGGAGTCTCAAACACATTCAGTGATGTTGAGCTCTGGACTCTGGGGTGCTCAGTCCATTGTTCTGAGAACACCAGCAGCTTCTTTGTTTGATTTGTACCTTTTCTTCTTTTTTGTCTATTAATGTAAATCTTGACAGCTAGACATCCTTTCAGACTCAGTGTTGAGTTATTTTCTTACTATGGAAGGATAGACAGACACTGTGGATTATTTCAGATCTGAAGTAAGAGTGGAGCTTGATTTTCTCCTCTCTCTCAAAAATAAAAGATTTAAGTACAGTTTATCTGATGGGGACAGTTTGGTGTCTACCATGTTTTGCATGGTTGTTAGGAGTCCCTTTTCCTGTATCTTTTATCATTTTTTAAAATCCAGTTTTGGAAATACGTTATTTTCCTTTGGCTTTCTCCATCCTTATGCAAATGCAAATCTTAAATCGAATCTCTTGAGAAACGTCTCCTGAAAGCTAAAGAAGTTGTATGTAATGGCTATTTTCACTGAAAATTGAATAAATGCGGATTTACTGTCTGAAATTGTATAAAAACAAATATGTGTGTGTGTGTATATGCTTTAGGACCCATTGTTGATAATCATAGCTGAATTAGGTAAGGAAGTAAGGAGCACTCTACAAGCTTGTTTCAGTAGATGTGTTCATAAGTGAAAGCTATGTATTTCTCTAAACAGCTGAAAGTTTTGAAAGCAGATATACTTTGTGCACTCTCTCTACGGAGGCTGGTGTCAGATTGCAGGTGGATCCGTGAGTGGAGCAGTCCAAACAATCCCAGGTTCTGCTTCACTGAGAAGTCATGCATTATGGATGACCCATGTATTTCTAACCTCTCTGACCATAAACCTGTCAATCAGGAGCTCCACCAATGTACACCATGAAAACTGATTCATTGGAAATGGATTTGTTATATGAAGAATGATTGCTCTCTGTCATTTGAACTGTGTGTTGTGTACTTTCTAGAGTGTTTCACATGTTAAGCAAGAGGAACTCAAACGGATCAAGGCAGTTGAAATAAAACACAAAAAACCTAGTGAATCATGATCAAGCAAGCGTGCCATGGTTTCTGGAGCCTTCTTTTACAGAGTTGTGAGTGGGCAGGATCCAGCTGGTGCAGTTTTATGTGGAAATACACCAACACCTTGTTCTGAAAAGCGGTTTCACATCTTTCAAATGTACTCAGTAAGGGGCATCTTGAATTCACTTCTATAAAAAAGCAGAATTAGAATGGCCCAGCCATCTGCTCTTAGAGACCAGTTTGTAGGGCATTATGAGTAAAGTGATGAAAGAACAGCACTCCTTTTTGAAGAAACACACATCCAGACATGATGGTGATTTTGGATAGCGAATGCTAAAGAAGTATAACACATTAATAAGTTATGCTTAAACACATAAAATGCTTATAGTACATCCAAAATTAATATAACACCTTTAAAAATTACATATAAAATTCATAAATGCATATGCAGTGTGCAATATTATGGACAGTAGTTCATGCGTGCTTTAAGTAAGCAATCTATGGCAGAATATTAGTAAGATAATTTGTCGGTTTAGCTAACCTGTATCATTACAATTTATATACAAAGTTCCTTAAAGCTACACTATGTATGTTTTGGGGATTTGGAGACCTCCCTGGTGGACATTTGTGATTGCACACAACGTGTGGAGAAACATTTTGTAAGTTTGGTTGTTTCAGACAGATGAAACTGTGTTTGTGATTGCATTGAAAGAGTATTCAAAGAGAAAAACTTGGTGAAGGAAGTGTCTTCTGAGGATGTAAGTGAAGTATTTATTTAGAACATTTTGTAACATCGGCTGTGCTTCAGACCCCTTCTCTCAGAGCGCTACAAAAAGAAGTAAAGAAAACATTATAATGCAGCTATAGCAACCACATTTGGTACATATCATTTTTAAAGGGTCTGTTATTGATATTTTAATAACATTGTCACATTTATCTCATGCTCACAGGAAAGGCAAACATGTGAACAGTCATAATTGTGACTGGTGAGATAACACAATGGCAAACATTTGCTGTTGGTAACCCTAACTATTAGCTGTTTTCCTTCAGATAGCTCCACTTTGTCCAAGGTTTTGTACATCCTAGAACATGAACAAACAGAGAATGCATGCAGCATTTCTGGAGATGGACCAATCAGTGTTTTAGAAGCTGATACAGATCAAGGGTGGGGCTGGAGAGAGATTGTTGATATTTGAACTCATACACTCCTCCCTTCAAAGAAACTCTGACCCCCAAATGCATAGACTGACGTTGCCAAGGAAAACAACTTTTTAGATCCTCTTTTTTAAGATCTTCATGGCCACAAAACCCTTGCAAATGTTATATGGACAAATGCCATGATATACTGTTAGAGCAAACAACAACACAGCAAGTAATGTAGCTAACCTTAGCTAGGTGCATTAGGAATTTGTCACTACAGTTGCTACTGCTAAGCTAACCAGTTGGGGTTAGCAATCACAAACATTAGCAAACAGGACAAAACAATACTGACCTATTGATTCAGCAAAAATAAGTTAATGTTACCCTGTCAAGCAGAAACAAAGCAACATCCTCTTTCATGCCTTTTAACTCTATGAAGCTGCAGTCAGCTTCTATTTCATCAGCTTCTTGTTCGAATTTTCCTGTTGCATCTTAAATGGTGCAGCAGTTGCATTCAGACACCACAGGCTAGCATAGCCAACAAACCACATTAATTACAGCTCTGCATGTTGACGCAGTGAGTTTACAGAGAAAAGGGCCAAATATGTCATAACATACTTCAGGAAAAATGTTTTTAAATAGTGAAATCGATATGATGAAGCTCAAGTTGGCTTTCTATCCACCAGCTTCATGTTCGAATTTTCCCGTTCCACCTTAAATGGTGCAGTTACATTCTGACACCTGAGGCGAAATATGGCTGATATGTTTTACACCACTAATGAGCTCCCAAAATTGACTAAGGTAGAGAAATATTACAGCCGATTGATCCTTCCATCTCTAAGCATTTCCATCATAATATCAGTTTACTCTTTTGTTTTTTTTATTATTGTTTGGAATTCCTCTTTAACTAATTTGATCCACAATTGTGACCAAGAATAAAATATATATTTTCACTAACTTTTCCAAAAAAATTCTGAAAAGACATGGGGCTGTCAAAAAAGAACAAAATTCATGTACTCATATAGCTAGGAAAAATTTGGGATTAAAGGGAAAGTCCACCGATTTTTATAAATTTGTGAAACTTACTGAGCCAGATTTCTTCACAGTGGTGGTGGTAGGAACCAGAGGTCACAGTGTCTACCACACAAATGTAGTCATTTTATTTACTGTCCAAAGTGACCAGAGAATCTACACATTTCTACTGAGTGTCATATGCAGTGTTGATAATGGTAAAATGTAAAAACATTTATCTCAAAACTATTGTACAACAATGTCTCAGGCATCAGGCAGTGTATTTTTAACTACTTTCA